GAAAATATATTGTTAATGTGTAATTCTTACAAAATATAACTATTAGATAAAGTGTCATAGTGTTAATTTTTTTTAATTGTGTAGTAATCTTAATGCTTTACAAATTTACTTTATGACTAATTTCTAAAGAGATATTTCATACAAGTGTTTTACAGATAACAATTCATAGCTTTACTACGTATTTATATTTCAAAATAATATGTTTATTCTCAAGTTAAAAGATAAAAAATAAAAGAAAATAAAAGAGATGATAAGAAAAAGAAAAGAAATTAAAGAAATAAATTATTAAAACTAAAATAAAACGTGATAGGCCTATTTGCTTTTTAAAACTACTAGAAACTAATTTGTCAAACCCTACCTTTTATATAATCTAAAAAGCTATCTATTTATACAAAATATATTATATAAAAAGATAAAACCGATCTATCATATATACAGTATCTAATTTATCATATATGATAAATATATCTAATATATTGAAAATGACCAATTAATCAATTATGTCTAATATATCGATTATGTCAGAAATATCAAATATGTCAAAAATAGCAGATATGTCAGATTTGTCAATTCAGTCAATTATCTGCATTACATATATCACATAATATTTATCTGTTCATAATATTTATAAGATTAATATAGTATAATATATAGGATTTATTATTTTAAAAGATTTAATATTAATCAAGATTAGAAATTTTAATTATTTAAGTATAGTAATTAGTATAAAGATATTAATTCAATATTTTAATAAATAACATAATTTGAGTTGATATTAATTGAGAAATACTTTTTAATATATAATTTTTAGTAAAAAGAATGGTAATAGTAATATTACATCTAATTTAGATTATAATATATTTATTTTTCTGATTTTGCAAATTAGTTTAATAACCCTGATTTTGTTTATTTTCATATTTTTAATTATTGTATTATTTTTTTATTTTTATTATATTTATTATTACAATCAAATCTTGATATAGCGAACCCTTGATATAGCGAATTTTTAAATCAAATATATTAAAATTACCTTACTACAGTGAACTAACTAATTAAATTCTTTAAAAAATTCGTTATAAGCTTATAATGAAGTTGATATCCAGATCCTAGAATTCGTTATATCAAGAATTCACTTCTCTTTATTAATATTTTTGTTATCTTCAAAAAGGTCTAACATATGATAGCAATATTTTCTTTTAAAATAATTTTTGAAACTTGTAATTATTCCTGCATCAAGAGGTTGAAGGTGACTTGTTGTATTAGGAAGTAATAAAACCACTTCAATATGAGTGAGCTGGAGCATAAAAATATCAGATTGTCTGCAATTATCATCATCATGACCTTGATTTCTTATTAAAAAATGATTTTGTTAATAATTTAATTATCATAAAAACAAAATTTATAAATATTATTATAATTGCTATATAGAATAAAATAAAATATTTTATTATCAAATCTAATATTTTTATAATATTTAAACCTACTTACGTGTTGATCTTGACGTTCTAGAATGATTTCTACTGGTAAACACTTCTGGTTTACCATCATTGTCTTGATTAACCAGCAGATAATAATTTGGATTAAAATAAGATGATACGTTATTAATCAGAAGTAAAATTTTTTATTTTATAATTAGAAATGTCTATTCATATCACCTAATAAAAATAAATTAGTTATTAATAATTTTTAATAAAATATAGCAATAATTGTAATTACTTCTTCAAAAATTGCCAAATTCATCCATGCTTTAGAATTTGCATGGTAATAAACTAAATGACTATCAAAATTGACTCGTAAAAGAGGTCTTAAATGCTTTGCCTTACCAATTACCCATGATTTAAGTTTATCAGTTCCAGTTGCATTAGTACTAAGAAGAATAATTATTCAGGTTTTATCCTTTTTCTGGCCAAAAACCTTTTTTATGAAAGTGTTTGATTTGAAAACATTCTATAATAAAGGTCTATTTCATCAATATTATAGATTTGGTCAAGAGTAAATTGACTTAGAAGTTGCTGTAATTTCGTCCTTTCTTCTGAAAGTGATGTTAATGGTGCACTTCCTGACTCTCCATATAAATGATGTCTTCAGATATTATTTCATTTTTTAAATTTTTCTAACCAACCGTTAGAAAAACTCATTTAACCTTCCTATATACCAAAAGAAGTGGCAAAAACTCTTGCTTTCTCTTTAATTATAAATCTGTCACCTTCTGATACATTTCTTATCCATATACTCATAGCATGATCAAGTTCTGGAAACTTAACTGGCTTATGCCTAAATGCTTTATTAGAGCTTTTGGTATCCAATATATTTTTCTATTTCTCTCTTTGCAAAAAAACCTTTGATACAGTGCTTTGTTCAATGACAAATTTGAATATTTTTCATTAAAATATTTGTCTTATTAACTTCTGCTACTTACAAATTTGACGTTTAAGATCATCATTAATAGCTGAACAATGTTTCTTAGGTTGTCTTTGTGAAACCATTATAACGATATGTAAAGTGGTGTTTAAATCTGCAAATACTGTGTTTATATAGATTAGTGTATCACAAATCATGATTGTTAATTGATCTTTTATCAATCAGAAATCATGTGATTACGAAGGAGGTTTTAATAAATATTAAAATAATATATATGTTACAGTGATAGTGATTAAAGTTTATCAGTGATTATATGAGGTGTGATTACATAGGAGGTGATTACATAGAGATCCGACTGTATATAAATTTATTTTATTAGTTCAGATTATACAAATTATATTATTAATTTAAAATATTTAAAAAAAAAACATTATATTAAAATTTTATAAATAATAAAAACTTAAAAATATAAATTTAAATTTATAAAATCGATATATCATTTTTTAGTAATTTTTATATTAATTATATATCTTAATTTAATATATTGTATAATACTTTGATTTTTAATTAATAAAAAGGTTAAATTAAATTTTTTTTTTGTCAAAATTATTATCGCTTTTTCTATTCTTCATTCTCATCCTCATCCTCTTCCTCTTCTTGATCCCACAACTCATGATTTGGGTTTCTAATTAATAAATCATCATCGTCATCATCTAAAGAAAAACAAATTCACCAATAAGAATTTTTATGTAAATATTGATGGTGATACGGATAGGGTGATTGGAATATATCACGTGAAATGATGTTTAGTATACAATTTTTATACTAAACTGACCTAACCTAACCCTCACAACCTACCAACATTAACGTAAATTCCTACACCTCCTTTCGTAATACCTAAATATGATGTAAATTTTATTTACCTTTTTCACGAGCTTGAGAATATTCTTCTTTCAGATGGGTTAACCAATCATTTTGAACTTTAACAACTTCTATACTATCTTCACATTGTACATATTTTGATAATAACTCACTATTCGTTAAAAGAAAGGCATTAATCTCACGAATTTAAAAGAGATTTGCAAAAAGTAATAATTACCCGTTAAGAGTAAGGAAGGAATGACCCCATTTAAACTTTGATAATAACTCTTGAGCATATTCTTTGAACCCTATTAAGATATAAGAAAATAAATATTATGTTTGATTATTTAATGATTAAGAGTAAATAGATTATACCAGTTATGTAAAAGCAAGCAGCATATGCTTCAACACAATTCAATTTCCATGGGCGACCATAATTTACAGGATTTGTAGCAACTAAATAAGGCACTATGTAAATGAGAAATTTAGTTTAATGACATTTTTATGTATGAACGAATATCGATAAAGTTGGAACTTACGTAATCGATCATTCCCAGTTTTCAATTTACTGAACGGAACATTATCTAATTTAGCCCAAGAACAATCAACGACAGCAATTCCATATTCTTGTACAATAGCTCGATCTGCCGGTGAAACTGCTTGCTTTCCTTCCGGACTTATAAATAGATATTTACTGTTTATTACCAAGATTAAAAAGTAAAGAGCCAGAAAGGAAAACCAAAATCAAACTTTACCTTAATACAATTCCACGAAATCTGGTTGATATTTTTAATTCTTTTACTATATTTAATCTAACTAATTTTTTTCCTGAACATTTTTTTGGATCACAGTGTCCAAAATCCTGTATAAATTAAATTAAATAATAAAATACTTAGAAAAAAAGAACTGAATATCTAAAAATAAAACTTACCCACATACTCAATGGCATTGGAATGTTACTACCTTTATTGTCATCAACCTTTTCTTTGATGAGTTGTTTACATTAGTATTCGATACAATTAAAGAAATTTAATGATTGAACCTATTCATAATAATTATCAAAGATCATAAAAAAAAACTTACGATTTGTTATTTCATAAAAACTTTCTTCGCTATATTATAATCAAATTATGATATAATTTCTCGTCATTTATCCATTAATAAACTAAATACATTTATTACAAACCTTGTATATTCATTATTAATTGATAAAACATGTTCTTTATGCCGATTATGTATATTTTTTGACTTTTTGGAACTAGAATTGCGTCCATTTCCTTTATTTTTACCCATTTAGAATTTAAAAAAAAAATATAAGAAAATTCAAATCATAGTGTTATAGTGAGGAGATGATTAATCTCTTATCATAGGACTAGTTTAGTCCATCTAATCGGATGTTCTAAGGTCCTTATTTATTTTTTGTCAAAAATAAACGTAGAGAATATGAGATCTTTGCAATATAAAGAGAAATAAATCAAAATTATTTTTATGTCAAATATGATTTTTAGGAGATATGTTAAGAATTATCATTAACTCAAGGCAGTTTCCCTTCAAAGGTCCCATGTATTCATCAAACCCATATTTATTAGATCAAAAGATGAAACAACAACAAAACTTGATACGTTTAGATTTCGTTAAAGCTGCTAAAAAATAAAAATTGTATTCTAATGAGAACTGTGTAGCAAAACAAGTTTCAGAATAAGTCAGAGATCACAGTCGGAATCAATCAATTTGATATTTATTTAAAAAAATATAAATTTATTTATGACCTTAATTCATTATTTAATTTCCATTTTTATATTGCTTAAACTACCATTTGTACCATTTGGTTGACCTCCACCTAAAACGCTTTCCATTTCCCAAATAGCATCATTTATAGCATCGTTTAATTGTAAAATTTTCGATTTTATTTTTAACGTTCTAGCATTTAGTGCTTTTCTACGATCTTCATGCAATTTCATTAGTGTTTGTGTATCATTTAACAAAAGGGTTGTTTTTAAATCATGTGTCATTGTTAAAAGTGACTCACAAGATCGTACCTAATTTAAAAAGATTTATTTTCGTTTATCAAAAATTTTCTTAAAGAAAAATAAAAATAAAAAATGGGAAGGAATTGAAAATACCAAAGTTGCAGCTCTTAACTCGACAAGGAATCCATCCAAAGCATTTCTATATTTATCTTTATCAACGGGCTTAACAATTCAAATTAAAAAAAAACACGTTAAAACTTCAACGAAATAATAATAATTATGAATAAGATAATATACCCTATCTTCAGATCTGCCAGGCATTCTAACCATTTCATGAAAGCCGGGACTTTTAACGATATCGCGAAAACTCGTCACAATATATTCAATTTCATTATCTAATTTTTTATTTTGTTCTTCTTCTACATTAGATAAAAAGGCATTTTGTGAAGCTAAGGTGGTTGTTGTACCTTCTGCTGTTGCTTGATTTGTTCTTAACGATAAGGCTGATGTTATTGGAGCATCTGTATATAACCTTGGAGGTACTTGTCTTTGCATTTTGAAAAAAAAATAAACGCGAAAAACCTACCGTTTTTTAAGGAAACCTATTTAATCAAAAGATTTTCTGACCAATTACCAATTACGTAAAAATGTCGGGAGATCATAAGCTGATTTTGTATGGACTGATATTTTTTATTCCGGCTAAATATCAAATTTTATTGGTCAGTCTAATAGGATCATGCTGATTTTGATAGACTGATATTTTTTATTAACGGCTAAATATCAAATATATTTGCAATTATATAGACTATAAATTAAGCTTTTAATTAATTATCATTAATAAGTTTCTAGTAATCAAGATATTATATAATACATTACATCAAATTGATTTTCATATTTAAATTTTTAACGTTATCAAACATCCCTGTTTCTAACATATTTTTAAATTGATCAGTTCGCATATTTACTTCTAAGAAGTTAACGAATGTAATGGATTTCTTTGTATTTTTTTATTATTTAAATTATCATTATTTAATTCATGTGACATTTTATGTTTTAAC